GCTTTCCTTGCAAGACTTTTGATGCTGGCTTCAAAGTTTTGATGTTTCCATGCATGAGAATATAGCCATTAGGCCGTAGTTTCGTTAAGGTCTGACTGTTCATGTCTGTTGAGTCATGAGATGATGTGTCTTTCATGGCAAAATTTTACTTTTATGCAAGAAGAAAGAAATATTTCTCTGACAGGTTGACTGAGAAATAGAATTATGGCTATTGCTTAGGCTAGTAAGTAAATGCAAGAAGTAATTTTGAATGATAGTAGATTATAGGAACTAGGAAGGCTGGATGGGCTTTACTTCCATTATACATTTATTACATATTTTTGATTTATTCTTTGTATTGCCTTCCTTGTATGTGTGCACGTGTAGCAGCCCATGCACAATCTTAAAACTATGCAACCATATTTCAGGATGGGAGAACTGTATTTTGAGTGTGTGACCTTTACTTGTTTTTCTTGATGTATTTTGGGCTACCTTGTGACTGTTAAACCGAAAGGACGCATGTGGAATGGATTACTGACCTCAAAACACATGTCCACAGCTTTATTTCATTTAAATAAAATAAAATATCTGAACTTAGTGTTATGAATATCAGCATTTGAGCGGGAAGAAATAACCTTTAAATGCATGGGACTTGAGTTTGGGGGCAGGCATTCTAGAGGCAAAAAACCCTATAGTTACTTCTTACTTGAATACATATAAGAAAATGGCTTGTGTCCAACTGACATGAACATAATGCCACTTGATATCAAGAACGAACAAATTTGCCCTATGGCAACCTATTATTAAATGCTGCAATGTCTGCTTTTTAAGCAGAGCTTTTAACCAAACCAAAGACAGAAACAGGAAGCAAGCAATTGGCACAATTATGCCTCCTAAGGGACTTGCTTCCAGTACGATGAGTTATTAATATACCTTAGCTTCTTGTATTATTTTTATCAAAATGTTATTATGGAAGCAGCATTTTACTATTTTGTACTTTTAAGAGAGATCTTGTACTTTTTTTTCTTCCCCCTTTGTCTTTCTTCATATGTAACAGACAGTATATCACCCTTGTTTTTCCTTTATAGGAACTAGAATAATAAGGGCAATTGCATCTTACAGTACCACACAATCATTTATATCTCCCAAAAAGATCTGAATGCCTTTTGGAGCTACTAAACCTACTCAAGTGCACTGAGGCCTAGGGATTTAAAAGATCTGAACGTGAATTTTAAAAGACACCTCATATCTTCCAGATAATTCATCATAGTCTTAAAGCTGTGAGATTGCATCATAGGTGTAATGATAAATCAGCCTAGTAAAATGACTTGGATGATTCCAAGATACCTTGGAAAAGCCCATGATAGTTTGATGCCAATTCCAAAACACTTGATTTTAGAAATCTCTGGGTATTTTGGAACTCCTCAAATTTGAAGGTGTTGGATTTGGCAGTAGTGTTATAAAGGCAGTAGAATTTCTTTTCAAAATAAAATATTGCACAGTTGCAATAAATTTTCACACCTAAGTCAACAGAAATGTGTTGTTCCAGGACAGTTGCTTCTCCATATGCTACATTCTACAGATCATTGAGGTACAGGCTGTGAGATCACCTTATAACAGATACAGCAAATCAAAATCTGTTGAACAGAAATATAAGTTACTGTCAGCCTGACCAGGAACATTTTAATTTGCCTTTCCATTCTTTACTAGCTACTGTTAAGAATTGACATTTTTTTTAATCCACTTATGACTACAAAATATTACAAAAAAAAAAGAAATGTATCATTAACTTCATTTCAATACTGATTTTAATAAATTGCTTATATGTTACCTAAAATACTAAAGTTTCAGGTTATTGCATATTGGAAAATGAATTGGCTGAATGAGACTTTTTTTCATAAGTTAATGTTGTTTTACTGCAATAATATGTCAAATACTGCTGTTGCTGGCTGATAAATCAGGCTTTTCTTAATTTTCTTTATTTTTCCATACCTTAAATGACTTGCTCAAAAAAAATGCGCAGACTGTTTAGATTATGCCACGGTGCAATATTGCAGTTCATGAGGCTTAATACGACTCAATAAAATCATTTTTATTAATAATTTATTATAAAACTGGAAATAAAAATATAAACTTGTTGTGTTTCTAATTTTAACCATATAAATACTTCTCTTTTTGAATTGTTGATAGTGTCATGCATATGTGGACATAAATTAGAACTTATATTTTGCATCTCAAGAATATTATTAATGTATATGATCAATATAAATTCATACAACTTAGAACTAAATGCCAAGTGACTATTCTAAGCAGCTCTAAGTTACATTTGCATCTCTTTTTCAACTTCACACTTATGTAATATTTTGCTTCCTATGGCAAGTAAGAAAAGATATGAAGCACTTATTTTGTTCCACAGGACCACCATAATATAGTTTCAAGAAATCAGTAGGGATCATCTCCCAAATCTCTTTGGTCTTAGTATGATGCTTTGAATTAATATTTAGTTTACGTCATTATTGCTGCTCTTCCCCCAGAATCTTGCTTTGCCATCGAGCCTTTTTAAATCAAAAAACATATTTTTCTTTTTTCCCATAATATTGTGCCAAAATGTACTTATTACGTTTCTATTCTTCAAGTATCATTTTAAAATATTTTAAAACATTATCATACTGGAATTTCTCTAGCATTTCTAAATGTATAAAAAATGAACAACAACAGGCTTCAGCTTTTCCCACTGCCTCTTCAAGGCTACTGAAGTGCAAAGTCTACAATTTGCTTTAGGTCTGATCTAATTTAACTTAGCAGATCCTCACTAATCAGGTGAAGGATGCCTTATATTTATATCGTGTATTTTGTCCATCTTGTTATTTCTAAACATAGATCACAGACACTTAGTTAAACAGTTGTGTTTCTTTAAAAGTAATCTTACTATTTCTGTCCACTGTTTGATCTATGCTATGGCTAGAATTGTTTTGTTCCAAGGTATTTTTAATTTTCCCTGTTGCAGTAGTCCTGGCAGCATCTCATACCAACTCTGTGGGCTTACTGACTTTAAAGTATGTTGATACTCCTTTTTCAATTTCTGTTTGTTTTATAGCACTTTTTACATCAAACTGTTATTTAGGTCATCCAAAATTCTTTATGAGATTTCTGAGCTCACATTTTTCTGTTTATTCCTTAGCTTTGAAAATGTATCCTCTTTATATCTGTGTGTACTTGTGTTACTAATAGTATCTCTCCTGTTGCCCATCCTGACATGCATATAACCTGATTTCATTGGCCCGTTGACAATTACCATCATTAATAAGAAATAACCATACAAAATTACTGTTACTTTTCTTGGCCTTACACACTTTTTTTTTTTTTTTTTTTTTCTCTCTCCTCTGTTCTTTCCTTTCTGGGCAGATTTTAACTAGCTAGTTTTACACTTCAAAGAGTATCATGTCTGAAAAGACACCAATAGTGCCACTTGTGTAGTAGTTTTATCAATTAGAATTCATTAACTAGAGTGTCCATGCAATAAAACCGGAATTCATGCTTTAATTACTGTTTCTGCTCTTTCTGATTATTATATTTTTGTAGTTTACTATGCTTGTTATTGCTTCTTGTAAAAATATTTTGCAGCTGTCCTTAATCACTTTTTTATACTTTTGTCAGTCTCTTCACTCCTAAATGTATAAATGGCTAATCTTCAGTTTTAAGTTATTCTTATTGAACATCAAGTACTTAAGCTCTGTAGTAGGCTAAAAGTGGTCTAAGCATTATTTTTCGCATCATGTAGCTGAAAAGAATGGCATTATATTACTGTCATATAATGTAGGCAAATTAGGATCAAATTATTTGCTCTCTTGTAATCAAAATAGCCCTTTATAGAAACTGGATTTACTTCATTTGTTGTTGTTACTGTACAAAAGTTACATTTGTATTGTCAGATAACAAAACCAAAGAATGAGAGGGGGGAGAGGGGAAAAACACATTAAGGCTCAGATAAATCAAAGGAAGCTTAACAGAAGAGAAGTTTTGTTGGCCAAGCATAGTATTTTTAATGATGACTATGCTTTTGTTAATCTAAAAAATGTAATTCCAAGTTGGCTTTATCTTTCCATGACAGATTCAAATTGTTCCCCTTTGAGTTTGTTTCATCATTTGTTTTTTAACATTCTGAGCATGGCTTTAAGAACTTTTTTTTCCCTTTCTTTTCTGAGGATGATGAAAATTTCTGAGGCAGAATGGAATTTGATTATGCTATTTGAAGTGCCTACCTTCAATATTGAACAGCCTATGATTGCCTACCTGATCCTAAGCAATCATATTAGCACACTTTAAGAAGTTAAAATCTGTGAGCTAAGGCAGTTAAACAAATCTTGTGGGTGCTTCCAGTTCCTTGTGGTACAGTAAAAAACCTGCCTGAACCACTAGGCACAACCTATCCTACTCCGCACTGTGACACAGAAGGAGCATCCATAGGACAAGCTGCGCATTTGAAGAAATTGCCAAATCGACCCTTGTTTTCACTTAAAACCTGATCAAAACCTCCTCGTAGGACTAGTACTAATTTCACTAGACTTAGAGTAAAACTGCAAACTGATGTGTTACCTGTGATGTGTCTGTTACTTTTGGATCAGATGGCTTCTAACAAGCAAGCAAGGAATGTTAGGCTTCAACATTGAGTGTTAGAGAGTGCTGCATCTACAAATGTTGAGGTTTTGCAATATAGGCTGCTAGCAGAGTGATCTTGAGAGCGGAGTTTATTAAAAATTATTTGATGGAAATTAAAACTGTAGGAACTTAGTCTATTTTGTCTTGCCTCCTAAAAAAGAACAAAATTTCTAAAATAGATTCCTGGAAGCTAAATAGCAAGCATATATCTGGTGTATTTTAATGCTGTTAACAAGAACATATTTTGGCATGCTGGAATATATAAAGCACTGTGGACATACGACTTTAAGATATAAACAACTTTGTAACCTATAAGTATTACAATAATAGTTATGTACTTTTGTATCTTAATTCTTCTGAAGGGAGAAAAGTTTAGTTGGAAGAAATGGATGCTAAAGGATTACCTGGAGAAGATAAAAAACTGAAGACGGTTATTATTTTACTAGCATATTCGGTAAGTAAATAAGTAACAATTTATTTTCCTCAAAATGTATGTTGAAAAGTTCTTGTATGTGACATGGAAGTGTGGTGTTTTCTAGTTTGCTGGCAATAGTGAAAGTCTTAAGCTGATCTGCACAGATTATTATGTATGCATTTTATCAGTTTAATAGTGACTTTGGTCAAATTATGTGTATCATTTTTGCTACTTTATAAATGTTGACAATTACAATTAAAAGCAGCAGCAGTTAAAAGAAATCTGTTTTGTGGGGTTCTTCATCTCTTTTTATAACAGTGACTGGACAGAAAATATAAATGAGTATAGTGCTATGGAGATGACAGGATTCATGTGCAATATACAGGGACAATCCCTTAGTACAGCATGGTATACGTAATTTAAGAGTTTGAACTTTTTTGATTTATCCACTTAACAAAATGTAGTACACAATTATATTACCTCCTAAGCGTATTTCAACACTGACTTGCAGAGACAGGTCCTAGAACTAAAGGTAATTAGGTCTTCTTAGCTATCAGAAAGGTTTTGGTCTTTCTGAAAAGAATAATATGCCGAGTAGTATTTAGTAGCAGTAGTGGAGAGCAGTTTCTGTGATAGAAGCCTATAGTCATTTAATTTAAAATTCCACAGAGAGTTCAATGTTTGATAAGGTTACTGGGTAGGATTCCACTGATTATACTGAGATTTCTTGAGTGGTTCATATTACTTTTGTATTTCTCACAACATTAGTTTCTGATTTGGTCAGATAATATACTGAAATATCTTTGAAACCATAAATTTGGTTTGTTTCTCATTTGGTCCATTAAATACAAAGTGATAGTGAAATTTTGGATAAATAGCATTCATACAGGCTTGGGACTGGTTGGTCTGTTTGTTAAGTATCCGGAAGGTTTGAGTGATCTTTAAAATCTCTTAAATATTTACACTGTAATATCCTAGTACACGTGCGCACACACACAAAGAAATCGCAAATAGATGAAACAAGCAATATAATGTCATGTTACATACTTTGATGTCAAAAAAATTGGAACTTAAGAAAATGATTGTGTGTCTTTTTCATAAGATTGCGTAAGATAAGGAATTTAAATTCTTCTTCAACATTTAAGTGACCTGAAATTCTACAAATTCTAGGTATTGAGCAGGTCTTCTAAAAAATAAGTCATTGAGTATTTAGAATTTTTAAAATTCAGGCCTTTTGCCCACATTTGACAATGGGCATATTAATTTCTGTTGCTAATTAAAATTTTTTGATATAGTAGGGAATTATTTTTAAGAAACAGCATGAATTTAAATCTGATTTAGAGAAGATACACTTGCTCAAAGTTTACATAAAATGTATTTTACTTTTCTTTTTTCCTAAAGCTAAGTAGGGTAATTTGTGAGACTGGAGACTGCAGAGAGCAAGAATTTAAGGACCATGCTGGGAATTGTGTCCTCTGCAAACAGTGTGGACCTGGAATGGAACTGTCAAAGGTAAGTAATTAATATATATGATAGGTAGGATCATAAAGCAAGAACGAGACAGTTGCAGTGCTCAATGCCTGTTCCCTTTGGATACAGAAGACCATACCCTATTCTCTAGTTTCATTGATGGCATTTGAAGGTTGATAAAGGCAGCATTTAGTGTATGATTTACAAGGAGAGAAATTTAATTTTCAAGGTTGCTTTTGTAGGCAAGCATGTTATTATAGATCTAAGGGGTGTTATGGAATCTTAATTTTTTTAACATGAAACAGTGAAAAGTCTGTGAACATGTGTTTAAACAACAGAAGAAGAAGCTTTCAACTTTGTGGCTTTATATTTCTTACTATATTCAGCTCTTTAAAAAAAAACACGAGAGAAGCATTGTGGTTTGTGGGTGGTTTGAAGAGTTTTACTTAAAGAAATGCTTAAATGTAAGAGTTAGCAGAGGGCGGCAGTTTCATGAAATCATGTGGTGTATATTCCTTTGTTTCTACCCTCTGCTGCTCGTTCTTAGTATATTATCAAAAATGTTGTTGCACTTTGTTAAGGTTTGTTTTTGTTAGGCAGCATTAGTTAGGGAGTAGTCCTGGAACAAGGCTGTTCAAGCAGAGATTTTTAAGGAGACTAATGATACGATGTGTGGGGGTTGTTTTTCTGTTTTGCTTTTTGTTTCTGTTTTGTTTTGTTTTTTCTTCAGATTGATCTTTAATTCAAACAATGAGAGATTGGGGAGGAGGTATGTTTTGTAGAGACATTTATAAGTATGGCACATTATAACAGTGATCCTACTAAAGCAATACTGTATGCATGGCTGCAACATACTCTTCTAGTTGGCAAAATAAAAGGAAAAACATAAAAACAAATCTCTTCAGTAATTATTTATAGTTTACTTTCAATTTAAGGAAGAAATGCTAAAATAAAATTAGGAGGTCAAAATTTGCAGTAGTATGCTAATCAACTTATATTTTTTGTTATCTAAATGATTTTTATCTTTTGCATCTGATGATCATCCTGGTTCTTAAGTTAGAATGGATAATCCAGTTTGAACATGTAAGCTATTACTTCCTCCAGTCATCAATATGCTTTCTACTGTTATTTTTTGCCACTGCATTAGAACCAAGATCACTAAACAGACTTTGCTCAAGCCTGAATATGAGTGGAAGGAGAAGGTCCTTTGTAAATACAAGTACGTTTTCCTGTGAGTCTTAGCTAAGGATATAATACTGTAATTGTTAATGAAATGCAACTGAAGAGGTAGCCTTGAAGAACTACACCTTGAAGGAACATAGTATGTTGTCAAAGTTCAGAATGTGAAGGAAAAATGATTTAATGATGCATATGAAGCCATTTACAACACACTTTTGTTTTTTATTAATATATGAGAAATTATTATAATTAAAGTATAGTTAAATAAGTTTCTTGGAAATCATCACAAACAATCTATTTTTTTTTTTAAACGTTGAGTTCTCATGTAAGATCTTACAGGTGAAACTGGATAGGTACACTGCTGGGTGTGTGAGTATAAAAATACATTTAAGAATATAGTAAAATACAATGTGGTCTTTGTTTTAAAAGTGTTTATTTTAAACAATTGGCTGGATACATTTCTTATGTTACTTACAAAACAACCCAGTCTGTTATCATTAGATCCAAAAACCTTAGCTACTGGTCCACGTAGCAGTGTTTCATGCAAAGAACTGATGCATAATACATGTTCATGGTGGTGTAGCTCAAATCTTTCAAAAAATTGTAACGAATTTAACTGTATTCCAACAGACTATTTCCTTCTCCATCCAGTTCAGACAGAGTTTATGCTGCTAAGTATTGTCAAGCAGGTGGATACAGTCACAATGACCCTCTCTTTAGACTTACTAATGAGAAACAACTTTCTCCTAGTTAAAATTTAAATCTATAAATTTAATTCTTTCTTAGTAATACCATGTATACAAAAATAGGAGCTATGTTTGAAAAGCTGATAGTAGAGATAGTAAACACAGGGAAAAAGAAAGCAGAGTTCTCAATTAAAATGAAGGTAAAAACAGACAAATACTATGATTTACAAATTCTTGCTGAATTGATTGGCACATTATGCTTTCTGGCCATTTAAAAAAAAAAAAAAAGTACTTTTATTGCAGGTTTATAAAGCCCAGTTAAGTCAGTAGTGAGTTACCCTTGCACTTAAGGGAAGACAGTGACATTTAAAGACCAGACTTGCTAATCTTGCATATTGCAAGCTGCACAGATGATTGAAGGTAAAGCTGAACTCTCCTCAGCTCTGGCCGCACCTGGAGTTTTGGGTGCAGTTCTGGGCTCCCCAGGTCAAGAGGGACGTGGAGCTTCTAGAGAGGGTCCAGTGTAGAGTGAGTTAAGATGATTAAGGGGCTGGAGCATCTGTCATATGAGGAAAGACTAAGTGAGCTGGGCCTGTTTAGTCTGGAGAAGAGAAGACAGAGAAGATCTGATCAACATGTTCAAGTGCCTGAGGGAAGAATGTAGGGAGGATGGGGCCAAACTCTTCTTAGTGGTGGCCGATGACAGGACAAGGGGCAAGGGGTACAAGTTGAAACCCAGGAAGTTCCATCTCCATGTGAGGAAGAACTTCTTTCCTATGAGAGTGACAGAGCCCTGGAACAGGCTGCCCAGAGAGGCTGTGGAGTCTCCTTCTCTGGAGATCTTCCAAACCCGCCTGGATGCCACCCTGTGCCACGTGCTCTGGGTGTCCCTGCTGGAGCAGGGGCTTGGACTAGGTGATCTCTAGAGGTCCCTTCCAACCTCAGCCATTCTGGGATTCTGTGAAACCCATTCACGTCAGGCTTTGTGCCACAGTGCAGCCTGTTACTAGATCACCAGGTGCCCCCGGTGCGACCTGCTTCAGCAGAGGGAGCAGGTGTGCAGGGCAAAGGCCCTTCTGCACAGGGCCACCGCTGCCTTCTGCGCTTTCCCTGAGCTATTCAACAAGAGTTTACGCTGAGGTGGTTTTCTGGGGCAGAACTGGTTCAAAACCAAAGCGCTTTTCATAGGCCCAAACTTTTTAAATAATATTCCAAAGTCTGTTCTAATCTTGTGTTCTATTTTAAGGTGTGCTTTGTGCAGAGAAAAATGTGTGTGTGTGTGTGGTTTTTTTTCTACTATCTATTCTCTTAGTCTAAATAATCCAGTTATTTATTTATATATATATGAATACACACACACACACTTGTATTTTTACAGCTACCAACCTGAGTTATTTATATGACCTATGTTGCTAATAGAACATAAGCATATCATATACCTTTTTAAGTCCTATGTTGCTAATAGAACATAAGCATATCATATACCTTTTTAAGTTAGAGAAATGCTGTTACTTTCTCTTAATTTATTCACAGTACACTGGCAAAGTTATCAGCTTGCCCAAGGTAATGCAGGAAGCTTTTGGTGGAACAGGGTATTTAATTTTCATTGAAAACTAGTGCTGAATCTGTTGGATTGACCTTCCTGCCTGTTTAGATAAGCAACTTCAGACATACTTTGTAGCATGGAGAAGTGGAAAAAATAGCACATTTCATGTAACTAGCTCCTAATCTAAGTTTTTATTGAGATAAGTTTCTTTACAGCCAGACTCTTCTTCTCATCCATTTCCATCCAAATGGAATAGGAGCCTCTTCAGGAATGCTGAGTAATTCTTTGTTCCTTAAATAAGTAAATTAATAGCAGTACCCACTAACTTCTTCCTTCAGATTCCCACCACCACTAGAAATCTTTTATTAATAGCACTTCAACTTATTATTAGTTTTATTCCTTGTATTTTTAATGCAGTATTTTCATGATTTTTAAGTCATAAAAAGTCAGTTTTGGAATTTTACCAGCAATTTGGAATTGATGGGGAAGGGAATAAAAGCATCATTTTTGCATCTCTTCCTGTTTTTTTGCTTCCTTTTGTTCATTTAAAGACATCTATGTAGCGTTTTTTCTTAGACATGGTAATGTAGTTTAACTTACAACAACATGAACTTGATAATATTACAGTTAAGCATTCTTTACATGGCTTCAAATTTTCTGTGCCTGAGTAGCTGTTGGTGTGGCTCAGATGATAAACAAGAACCTTGTTTATCTTATCTTACCAATAATGTGTTTCTGTATAAATTTAACTTTATGATTCAGATGTGTATATATATTACAATTAACACAATCAAAAATGAACTAGGGTAGTTTGAGTTAATCAAGGGCCCCACTGTTTCCTGAAAAGCTTCCCTTGTAGAGGTAAGAGACTTGAGTCCTTCCAGGCCATTCACCATCACTTGCTTATAACCACTATCTACAACTTTCTCAAGCTGCCTTGTGTCTTGTTTTGTTTTAACTTATGTGTGAAAACGCAGTACATATCTCATACCCTCATCAAGTTTGGACTGCAACTCAAAACTTTTGTACTTCTCACACGTGATCTACTGACAAAATCTAGGCTTCTTTTTTCTTGAGACTAGTCAAATGTTCTTATACTCATGATGACCTAAGTGGAACTTCCCAGTGCTTTGCAGTCTGAGATTTACATAAGTTGTATAATCAGTTGAACTCAAAACGATCTCTTAAATGTCCTTACAAACTATGATCTAAATAATGCCTGAAAGCCTTTTTTTTTTAATTAAATTTGAGTTTATTTTAGCTGAAAGATTACTTAAAATATAATTCACTTTTATTTATTGTTCATTTACTTTCTATGTTTCATTCAACTTTTAGGGACGAACGATAACACTCCAATACCCTTTATAGTCTCCTTTACTTCCAGTTCCTTTCTGTGGATCAGTGTTTGCATAGTATATACTGAAAGAAAATGTTTAAAACTGTCAATGCAACACTTTAAAAAATTTTTTTACTATTGCATGCCTTTTAATATTTTTGACTAAATTGTGAGTTTAGTTACTTAGTTTGCTATGGATTCCCAGGTGACCTTGACCAGTCATCACTTATTTGGTACCTTAGTGAAACAGAGTGTTTCTGGGGATAAGTATGCTGCGCGTAATGAAATATCACTGTACAGCAATAGTGAAAGCTGAATAAATATCCAGCAAGTGGAAGTACATTTGCATTTTGTATTTTTTAAATGAATTTTAATGAATATTTTTAATTCGGGTTTTGTTTGTTTGTTTTTAGGCTGGGGCTCTGTATATATGGGACAAAATTGTGAAGGCAAATTTAACATCCCTACTGCTATGGTAGCTCTGAAAACAGGAAGCAGAAAGGGAAAAATGGGCTAAGTGTTCTTTGTAGCATGCTTTGTGATAGGCGAAATAAATATACTACATACTTGCTTTTTCTTTTTTTTTCTTTTTTTCACGTATATACTAGAAACTCAGATAATGGAGATTACAAGAATTATTTCTCTCTTTTGCGTTCCTGAAATGAGCTACCAAAAGACATAAGCCCTCTCTTCAGAATATGGGTGGGGAGAGGCAGGGAGGATGAAGTGGGAAATATTCGGTATTATCAGCTGAATAATTTGAAAACTCTGTTATTGTATGTGGAGCACTAAGCAACACGGTGCACATTGGATTTGTACCAGCACTAATGTAAGATGAACAGTCATCTGTTTATATGTTTGCTGGGCCAATGAATTTATAAAGCTCAAGACTTCAAAGGATTTGATTCCATCATCTAAATCAGATCCTCCACTTTTGGGATGCATTAAATCTGAGTACAGATCTACTTGAAGTTCTGCCTGGTTTACAAGCTTAAATACTTATTTGTACCTGCCAGGCAGTTAACAATGTCAAATATCTGTGAATATAGGAAAGCACCTACATAAAGTTATAGCTGCTGTGGATTATTTCTGCAAAACTTCTGGCAAACAATTAGAAACCATGTATGGAAACATTGTAGGCTGTAAATCCCTTGGGCAGAAGCTTTCTTTATATTGTAGCCACCATTTTTAACACGTCTTTATAATAATAACCATCCCACATTACAAAATGCCACTGAGATATGCCCCTATATACAGCCGTAGCATAGCAAGCACAGCTGATAGAGCTAGAAACAACTTGCTGAAACTTGAGTAGTTTGGGTCAATGAGTTAGACATTTAATTCTAACTTTGTTTCATTGTATTTGCTTGTTTCTAATTGCAAACTTCAAAGGTTGTCTGGAGAGTGAGAGTTATAATTAAGTTTGTTTAAGCCTCATAGTTGAAAATTTCGTAGGACTTGGGAGGGACTGATTTTGAGTGATTTATCTGAAGATCCGCATATATATGGTTTGACTGAGCTATATAATATAATCCCTTAGAGCTCTACTGCTATTTGAAGGATCTAAACACAGAGTATAGAGTAGTTATTTAGGAAGAATGTATTGGGGAGTAACTAAATTCAGTGAAAAAAGATCATTTAAACATAGGAAAAGCAAAATTTCATTACCGAAGTTAGTCTCATTCCTTTTTTAAATGGTAATCATATAATTTTGTATATTTGCTTGCAGTTTCATAAATGTGATTGACTATAAAACTGATCTGGGTGAGATATTGTGGACAGCATAAAATAGAACTGCTAGAACCTTCCTTGGTTTGGGCATTTGATTTCTGGAAGAAACAAGTAGCTTTGAAGTAAATTGATAGAAAATATCCTGTGACTGATATCAATAAAGAATTGTTTGGTTTTTTGTTTTGTTTGTTTTTCTATGCACATTTGTCTGCCATTTTTAACATAGGCAGTATATTATTGCAGGAGGAGCATGACCTAGAATATATGAGACTGTGCTACTTTTGATTACTAACCGCAATGATTTTTCTGTTTATTCCTTAGTCTGAATAATAGTCAATAGTAAGAAACCACATTTTCATTTAATAAAATAAATAAATTCTTTCTAAGTTCTCCTTAAATGTAGGAGTATGTTCGTGTGTTTAGAGATGGAGAAAGAGGAATATTTTAATGTCTATTTGTAGTGGCTTTGTTAGAATTGCTCATTATATGTGCATTTGAGTACTTTTTCTCCTCCAGAGAATAGCAAAGATTTTTTTTACATAGAGAAAAATGGAAAATTTTTAGTGACCAATAAAACGCAGCTAAGGAGCTGTTTACTTCAGGAGCTTGATCAAATCATTGCAAATATGGGGCACTAAAAAACTAATTAACCAACTTGGATCCTCTTTCATATATGTTTTCTGGGAAAAAACTTGAGTCCTGTGTGCATTTCTAAAGTCCAAAGCTTCTTACATTTTTTCCTTTTGGGAAACTACTTCCACTAGGACTACCTGCCAGAGAAGTGGATCCCATCCTGTCTCTGTTTCCTACTTACTCCCTTCCCATCAAATTCTCTTGGCTAGTTTGTGGTATTCCTTTGGCTGTTATGTGGTGTGTTAGTAATGTCATGAGTCTGATTTCAGAATACAAAAAAAAAAAAAAAAAAAAGGAAGAAAAAAAAAAGTAGGATTTTCAAGTGCGAAAAAGAAATAGCCCCTCTTAGCACTGCAGGGAAAAAAAATCAGGAAACCCACACAGATCGATGGTTCTCGATAATCAGTTTATAGAATTCAGTTCCCAAACCATCTGGTGTTTCCTGCCTCTTGGTTAAGTGTCCCTCTGCAAAAGAATGGAAAGAATTTATTTGAACAAGTACATTTGGGATAAATAGGCAGCCCTAACAATATTTCTTGCATGGTAAAATATAGCACCCCCCGTGATCCACTGAGCTGTTAAGCATTTATAGCAGTTCTTAAACTCTTAGAAACACAACTAATTCCAGTTCTAAAATTTTCAGGGCTGAGGCAGTATTTCATGCCTTGCTGATGGTCATTACCCAGCTCTGTTTTATTTGGTAACAGAGGTTCTAAGCCTTTGAAGATCAGCAAATTAACTTTGCTGCTCAGCAATTAACTTTGTTCACCTTAGCTATGAACCTAAATATCAAAGTGCTTCTTTGCTGTTTTTGTAACTGAGTAAGTGCCTTTATACTGCACTTGTCCCAGTTTCTGCACTTTCACATGACTGGCCTAATTAAAAAACAGACAGCTCAATAATTCTACCATAAGCTAGTAATAATGAAACTGTGGGAGTCCTTGAAGCCCTTTATCATTCAAATACACAGTGGTTTCTCGAATAAAGTGGATGACTAAGTGTTACTTATAGAAGTAAGGGAGATTATTAGCAGTGGAAGACACATTTGAACTTGCTGAAAGGATGGCTTTTGTCTCTAGAAAGAACTACTCTCCGTAATAATTACACTAGGTCTTCATTTTATCCCAGCATTCTCTCCCTCTTCACGCTTTCAGTGTTTGAATGGTTTGCTCTTGCTTGTTAATCCCTCCAGGAATGCGGCTTTGGATATGGGGAGGATGCACAGTGCATGACATGCAGGTCAAACAGATTCAAAGAAGACTGGGGCTTTCAGAAGTGCAAACCTTGTCTGGATTGCGCACTAGTCAACCGGTTTCAGAAGGCCAACTGTTCTGCCACGAGCAATGCCCTGTGTGGAGACTGTTTACCAGGGTAAGTCCATTTCTGAAGGTGAAACTTTGAGATCAAATCCCAAACTAGTTTGCATTAACATTTACATTTACTGCTAGTGTTTTCTGGATAAATGACTGGATCATTAAGAGTATGTTTGAAGATCCTGTGTTTTAATACTGGCTTTGCCAGACACCTACTGTACGATTTGAGTGCAGATTCTCTTAGTCATCTCATTTATAAAAATGTTGTTTACTTATCTACCTGACCTGTGATAGTTTGTTTATACAATTCCCAAGTAAATAATTTCAAATATTGATTATTACTCAGTATTCCAAGTTGCTTAATTGTTATAAAGAGTTGGATACCTAACTGGATATTTCTAAATTGCAAATAAATTTCAGCTCAACGTTTTTCAACTTTTTGCTTTTGTTTTTGCAGGCCATTGTAGGTATATTCTCGTGAGAGTACTATTGTCAGAGTATTTTTGAACTTTTGGCTTAGCTTGCTTTCCCAGCCTAATATTAAAATTTTTCATATATGAAAAACACATAAATGTATTTCACTGTGATAATAAAAATGTTAAAGTGGGTGTAATTATCAAGTTTGTAATGTTGTAAGTTTGGATAATGCAAAACTAAGTTACATAGCTACTATATTCTTTGACTGAGCGAGTTGTGCAAATTTGAAGCTTACTTTAGTCAAACAAAACCTGTAATCAAGTTGATGTCTTTCACAGTACATTTTAGTATCCAAGCTGGCTAATATAAATGAAGGGAGGAAAAAAAAAAAGATTTTTTTTTTTCTCCTAACAAAAAGTTCATACTCCTGCTGCTCCCTTCCACAACCTTCATAAACAAAGTCTTTTTTTTTTTTTTCCTGAGAGAGGAATAGAGAGTTTCTCTCCAGTTTCACTTGAGCTAAAATGGATCATCACTAGGAAAGGGATGGGGACACAGAATCTCATGAACAGACCGGAAAATGGTTACAGTAAATTCACTTGACAAAAGACCTCTTTAAAAATCTTGCCCAAAGCAGAAGTAAAACTTCACTGAGTATCTCTTGAATGCTGGATGCATCTATAGTGTGTCTCATCACATTACATCATCATCTGCATTAGGTATAGTTCAGTGTTGTTGTGAAAATGAAGGAATCACGGGCTATGCTAGTGAGTGTCAGAGTTGCACTTTTATAGTTTGATCACCCTGAAGCTAGCTGGAGTCTTGGTGAGTTCAGTGACTTTTGCTAAAGTTATAATTACTTACAAGCCTTGTTTATGCCTGTTTTTTTCCTTACTGTAGTACAGCTTGGGGCAATGTCTAGAGTGAGTTTTAACTACAGATAATTGAATAGCAACTCAGAATATTATCATTCAAGCCTTGATACAGACTACAGTCTACAGACTTATGCACATGCTCAACTTTACTGCTTGCAACTTGAGGAAAGTATTCAATCCAGAAAGTTAAAATCTGTCTTGTCTTTCCAGTGTGAAGATCCTATGACTTATGACTTCCAATTTACAGATTTCTTTTACTGCACCCAGTACTTGGTACTAAAATATCGTATCTGGTAACACACAGTTACCTTCCTACCAACTGGTAACAATATTTGCTTGCTCTTCTCCCACTTCTTTAGGGCAATGCCTGTCTTGGATAATTCTCATTTACATATGCTTTTGGGTCAGGAGTAATGGCTGTGGTTTATGCTTCTGAATTTCTCTCACATAGTTGATAGATTGGTAGAGAATGGTCCTGGATCTGAAGGAAATGTTTTGGAACAAATTATAACAATATCAAGACACACTGAAACTGCTACCTGGTAAATTGAATCCCATGTTTAATTTGTCATCCTGTCATCCCAGTCCTGTTATGTGAAAGTTTTCTTCTCATGGCTTAAATAAGCCATACTTTGAAAGAGCAGAGAGGAAGGGAAAAAGAAACAAGAATAAAAAAGAAATTGAGGGTAATTTTTTTTCATACCTCGAAATACTCACTATCCAGAATTTATATATTTCACTTGTAAGTAGCAAGGTATTGGATAACATGGAACAAGGCTTATAAGGTGATTTTGTTAATTCACATTTGCGATCCATGCATGGTGTGATTTTGTGGGGTGTTTTGGGGAGGAAGAAGAGGGAAGAACTGGAGAAGGCTTTTGGATGGTTAAAACATATCTCCATTTATCTAGTTTTGCTCTTCTACTACAAAACGGAGCAAAGAATCTGAAGATTTTTGTCACACATCCTGTTAAAGCCTTACTCTCTCTGTTGTCTATGCTTAAAGGAATTAACCATTATGAGTCATTTTTCTTCTGTGAGCAGCAGGATGTTTTGACTATTTTAACCAGATATTGTTGACATCTGGTCTAGTATGTACTGACGGGGTTGATAATTACTTTGTAATATTTTTATTCCAGGGCAGTTTAAGACATGCAAATAAGCTTGCATAGTATAAATTCACCATACTTTTTCATACATTCTGTATGTGACAGCTTTGTCATTACAAAGTATTTCCTTATCTTCTAGATTTTATAGGAAAACAAAGCTTGGAGGCTTCCAAGATATGGAGTGTGTTCCTTGTGGTGATCCTCCCCCTCCCTATGAACCTCACTGTAAGTGTTCTTTACCTTCTATTGACAAGGGTTTAACTTTTTAAATTAAAATATTTTCTGTTTTAACTTGACAAATTGGCAAAAAATGACATTAACGTAATTGAATGAGGCTTTTAAAGGAACATTTTCATGTTAGTAAGTTATTTTCTTAATGCCTTTGAGCACTGTCATTACAAAGTTCCCTTCTATGGTCAGTCACTTCAGGATAAGCTAGCCTCTGTCATATCACATGATTAAGAAGTCTTGAGGCCAATTCTGATCCTCTCACTGATCTAAATTTCCAATTTCCTTTAATGCCAACAGAAAGTTAGTTTTACTAGACTCTGTTGATTTGCCCCAGTTAATATAAATTCCTTCCAGGTACCCAAGGTGTGTTATTTGTCAATGCCTTTAAAATCAACTTCTATGATAAGGCTACAAAGAGAGAGAACAATATAAATAAATATATTAGCAGTGCTATATATTTTAAAATGGAAATTGGCAGTCAGTTCCTCTCTTGCTCTTTGGCCAGTGAGAAGGTAAGAGAAAGGAGCATTCTTTTGGTTCCTCAACAAAAGTCCTGCTATACTTTTTTCAAGACTGTTCATTGTCTATGTTCAATCACATTTTTCACTGAATAAAATGAATAAATTGTTCTTGTCGCTTTTATTGCTGTGTGGTTTACAGTATGAAAAATAAAACTGAATCCACATAATGTTTTGGAAAACCCATGTAGTAGGGTTTGTTTGCCTCTTTCTGTAGCTGTAAAACTATGCTTTAGGGAGGTTTTTTCCTCTCTCCCAAACAGATGGAAAAACTGTTTATGGTAAAATGAACCAATCAGAGTCTAAACTGTTTCATGCTACTTAAATAATGAAAGCACAATTTATTTTAAATATTCTTTCTTTTTTAAATTATGCATAATAAGCATATGACTTAATATTTGCAGTTGTACATTAAAACCAATCATACTTTAAATCATTTTGGATTAAATTCAGTTCTGCAGCATTTTGTATATTAGATGGTCATTTTTCAATGAATCTCATTCAGCTTCAGTTCTAGTTTTAGTGGCTTTTGTTGAGGTTGGGGAAATTCATCTGAGAAAAACAGGTTCTTACAGAATATATTTAAAAGTTATAATAAATGTGGCTTTCTGTGTATTTCTTCTATGGTTTGAAAGATTTTTTCATTACATTTCTCTGAATCAGAAGGATTTATTTTTTACTAAAGATTGAAAAGCAGTAAGTCAGATTTATATATATAAAAAAGAATAAACCAAGTAAGTTATGTATTTGCAGTAGTAACTGCTGCTTACATGTGATGTAGATCTGGAAAGTAAAGGAAACTTTTCAACTAATTCTGTAGTGTAAGCAATTTGATACATTGAGATGTTTAGAGAAACTATATTCTTTGTAACAAACCCTATGAGTTTTGATGCAAAGAATGAAATGTTGATCTTAGTTCACTGGAGCAACTCGCTTCAAATTCAGTGAAGTTGCAGAAAGCAGTTGGGTCAGAATTTGATCCTCAACAAGCAATTTCATCTGTACGGTTATTTTAATTTACCTAAATGATCAAATTGAATATTTGCTCCTTTCTTTTGCATTTATTATATTTTTTTCTACAGAAACAAAATACTGAGTATTGAAATGAAATGCGCAGTAGTGTGTTTCTGATCTAGGATCTCTAACTCATAAATTAATTTTATGCAACTTTCACTTTCTTCCTGGTTGCTCTGTTCTTGCATGAAAGCACGTTATTCAAACATGAATTCTGCTCTCTGGAGTAATCTAAGCAGATAAGAATAAGAACGTCCCTCTCCTTTCTCTCAGCCCTGACTGCACTTAGTGACTCATATACACGTTTCCGTTGTTGGTTTAGAGTCACTCAGCACCCACAACAGTCAAAATCAAGCCTTCAGGTAAAAGATCAAATTGAAAATGTGGTAGCTTGATCTAGAGTGAAGTTCACAAGTAATCTCAAATTTTGAAAGAATGGTGACCAGATCTGCACTGTTTATAGTGCTTTGGCCTTTTTAATTAAATTTAAAGTTGAATCCAAATTAAACACATTAAGCTCATACTAACTTAAGTGGGCAACAGACTCGCCATAGAAAAGAGCATTTTCTTTGGCATAAACTGCAATGGTAAATCCATATTTTAATTAGAGATTCTTTTTTTTTCTCATGGCTTTGTCAAAGCCTTTGACTAAATAACAGGAGAAATGCCAGCAGTTACTGTTTTTCATATTTCTGGTGGCAAGTTATAAGAACTGGCAGGTGAGTGCTTGTAGTTCTTACAGAAGTAATAATAAAAAGAAGTTTGAAATCATTAAAATGCTCTTTATTTACACATGATTCAACCATTAAAGTCTTAATTTAAATCCTACCATGAAATAGAAGATGCCACTGTGGTTTTCAGAAGAATCTCATTAGGGATCTGTATATTGTTTCTGCAGCGTCTCTAACATAAGCTGTCTCCATTCAGGAAAGTTTATCTGCCATCCTCAGAGCTGCTTATGTTTCTGTTTATGAAAGTTTCGTTTATCTTCATACATTCTCACTTTTAAGAATAAGTAGGCGGGGGGGAAGTTTCTATGTGGAAGAATAAATGTGTATGAAAACAAACTTTTTTTTCCCACTCAATGATTAAAATGCTTGCTCTTTAATAAATAATATGCTTAATATTTGAGATATTTAGCATGCCCATAATAGAAGTCTAAAGATGTACCACAGAGTGTGGGGCAAGCTCTGAAAGATCAGAGGGCTGAGATCTAACTCTCTACCTCTCTTATGCCTTTTTTGTTCTAGTTTGAAATAGAAAGATAAATATTAACATAGCAAACTCTTGTATTAGAGATGAAAAGGAAAAGTTTAAATGTCCTGTTGCAAAGAATGAATTGTCTTGGGAGGTGCATGGCAAGTTTTTATTTGCCTAAGAACACTACCTTAGGGGCACAAAAGTTCACAGCCCCCTACCTGGACTAAAGGTTCATGTTAAAGCTGGGACATGGATGAAGTCCTCTCAGCACTCGTAGCAGTTGATTATTACCCAGTTAGCTATAAATCTAAATACTTGCTTTTATCTTCTTTCTTTTGTAGACATTTTAAAACAGATCTGGTTTAAATATTTACTTGTGAAAAAAATGAGTTTGTGAATTGCTAAAGGCAAAGTTGAAAGGATTCTATAATGAACAAGTAAAGAGGCCAAGAGAAGTGTTATCACCCCTGTGTAAACTTTAAAGGGGAGACAATGACTTATGTGTGGTTTTGGATATTAGAAAATTAAGTACACAGTGATATATTTTAATATCCTGAGTTCAAGTAAATAAGCCATAAATACCACTCCCTTATATTTATGCAGCATCTAAATATTAGAAAGCTGGGTTTTAAAATGGCTGTTTATGTTCACTTTCCAAACTGAAGCCGTTGTTTTCATGAGTCCTGAAGACATTCAGTTTGAGCAGAATGATTGAAAAGAAGTTATCCCTCCTTTGAACTGGAAGCACTGTCAAAGATGGCGTTTGTGAAATAGAAGGTAGTGCAGATTGTCCCAAACTCATATCTCTTCCATGGAAAAATAGTGACTTAGATGTGGTTTGATGATCCTTTTAGCAACATTTTTGGCTTGAGAGTTCACTTTCCTTTGCCTACGTAGGGCAATACTGTGCTGCTTATGCTGAAAATGCTCATTAAACTGCTCAGTAAATTAGATTGTGAATGACATTAAAAAATATAACCTTAATAAAGTAGTTGGTCATATCAGCTGTTCTTGTGAGGAAATACAATTCTGGTTGTATTTTTCAATTCCAAAGGTAGATCCGAATCTGCATCATTATTATCTGAATAGGCTTTCTGGTGAGCCCTAACTTCAAATTTTTTAAAGCTGTGTTTAAAATATAGTTCCCATGTAGTTTGTTCTTCCACATTAATTGGCCTTTCTTGGCCAATTTACCATAACTGGTCTTCCTCTGTAGACAAATTTGTTCAAAAATTTGACCATGTTAAATTTGAATGAGTTCAGAGGTTTGGGGGGAAAAAATGCTTGAGGATTTTATAGCAAACCTACCACCAGAGAAGTAGTAGCCTGTCCTTTTTTTTTTTTCTGCACCGTTATATTAAAGAAGCAGGTATGTCCAACCAAAGTCATTTTCGTTTTGCAGGACTCTACTGCTCCCCATGGCATCAAACAAGAAGCCTGGGAAGCCAGGGCAGGAAGGGGGGAGATACCATTCTGAATGAAGCTTTGGAAACCAGCCCCTACATGTTCCAGGAAATAACTACATTCTTTGCTTCAGTGAAGCAGAAATGTTTTGTTGAATAAGTCACAGTGGTGGAAATATCCGCAGTTTAAAAGTGTAACGTTGTGTTCCTTCAAAGTAAACCTGCACTCGTGTCTGAAAGTGTGACAGATGGGCCTTTTTTTTGAAATACTGATTTCATTATAGTGTTTTTAGCTATAAAAAATATCTCAAACTAATACAAATTTCAAAGTAGAAAACTTCTTTTTTTTTCCTGTAGGTAAGGAATAAAAGTAGAGATCACTACTTGTTGCAGACAAAACACGTATATTATAGCGAATACATTACATTTTGGTGTGAGGTGTCTGTATTGACAGGATTAGAATCTACAATTTTTTGTAAACTTTTGTGAGAGTGTAATGGGTGTTCGTGGTGTGTACAGTGAATATATCTTCTCAGCAAAGTCAGCTCAGGCAACAGCGGAGCAGGTAAAAAGGTAGAAGCTACATTCTGTAAGGAAATACTTTAGGGTGACAAAATACATGATAAAAGTCATCTTGTTGGAGGAGCATGGGTCCTGCTGTCTACGTATGTGTTCTGGAAAATACTTTTTTTCCTGGTGGTAAAAAAGGGAAATTCCCACTTTTTTCATCTTCATTTTTGTTCTTCATTATTTTATTAAACCTTTCTGTGGCATTTTAACTTGAGGGTAGTTCTTGGATGACATTCAATTCCACTCTAGTTCCTCTGTTTGCATAAAGGAATTTTCATATTCTAGTCTC